ATTTCTCAGGATTTGTGGGCCCTCCTTCATTTAGTAGAGCTCCTTTTTGAGAAGCTTTGCCTGAAAGGAATTTAAGTCATATTATGACAGAAAAGAAGTAAAATGAGAGTTTGTAGGAGAGGTACTAGATAGATTTGGAGCTGGCACCCTAAGAAATGCCTGGGAGCAGGGGACAGGAAGAAGTCCTTTGAAAGGTCCTGGGGTCCAGTAATTGGCCCATGCTTGTGTGGTCCCATCTGTGATATATAGTCGGGAAAGGGTCAGGTCTAATGCTAGTGGGGGCAGAGGACTGTAGGGAGTTCTGTTGGAGTGGCTAGGGTGGACGTCAGACTAGAGAAGGGCTGTCCTACACCAGAGGCAACCAGCCAGGGCAGGCTGCACAGTGGGGAGAGGAAACTGTGGGAGTGGGCACTTGCCCTAGATGCTGCCTGCTCAGCCTCCTGGGAAAGCCTATGAAATCCATGTCCCCTAGTGAATCAACTGCTAGTGAGGAGCTTCCTCTTTTTACCCTAGGAACTTGGCACACCTTCAGGAGATCTCATTAAATTATTTAATCTCCTGTTCTCAATCTCTTTTTCCATTTTCATCAATTTCTGGGAGAGTTCCTCAACTTTATTCTCTATCCCTTCTATTGAGTTTTTTCATTGCTGCTTCATCTTTTTCATTTCCAAAGTCTCTTGAACAGTGTTTTCAGAACATTTCTTTTTTTATGACATCTATTCTTGTTTCATGGATGCAAGGATATTTCTTATTTCTTTCATATTTCCTTAAACACATTATTTATACTTTTTTTGTGAGGCAATTGAATGGGGGGTAGTTTTCTTCTTCCTGCAGAGTTTCTGGTTCCTTTCAGGTCTATTTGTTTGGGTTTTTGTTTTCTGTGTTAGAGGTTGTCTTCTAGTGTGCTGCAATTTTGGTTTCTTGTTCATTGTTAAGCAGGAAGGGGGAACTAAGGAATCCTATAAAACTATATTGGATTCTGTACCTATAGAAAAGAAAATATACCGTTTTGTGAAGTGCACGTGGAAAATTCATGAAAATTTACCAAATATTAGGTTGCCAAGAAAATCTCAAGAAATCCCAAAGAATAGAAACATACAAATAACATTCTCTGATCATAATGCAATAAAACTTTTAGAAATTAGTGACAGAATTTCTTAAAAATGTAAAATTTCCTTTTTCCTGGTAATTAAAAAAAAACTATTAAACACCTATTGGATTAAAGGGAAAATAAAAAAACAAGATTTCAGAATTTCTTGAAAATAATAATAATGAAAACATGACATAGAATCTCTGTGATACCACTAAGGCTGTTATCACAGGAAAACTTATAGCTTTAAACAGCTGGTGCAATAGAAATAAAAACATCAATATAAATGAATTTAGCAACCAAAATGGAAAGCTAGGAAAAAAGTAACTAAAAGAAAGGAGAAGGAAACTAATAAAGATCAAATTATAAATAATGACTTGGAAAACAGAGAAGAGTAGAACTAATAAATCCAAAAGTTGGTTATTTGAAAAACACAATAAAATACACAATTAGCTAACTTAAGCTTTAAAAAGGGAGAAATCACAAATATAAGAGGGAAATCGCATAAAAGGGGGTAAACCACTAGCTAACTTATGCTTTAAAAAGAAAGAAATCAAAAATAAAAGGGAAATAGCATAAAAACAGAGAAAACAATTTTTAAGAAGAAAGTACTTTGTGCAACTCTGCAAATAAACATGAAAACTTAGAAGAAATGGGTATGTTTTCAGGCAAACAGAAGTTGCCAAAATTGATCCTAACAGAGACAGAAAGTCTAAACAAACTAATTGCTATAAAAGAAATGAAAAGGCTAAAGAGTTATCGCACAAAATAATACACAAAGAATCACCAAGCCAAATGGTTTCACAATGAAATTCCACATAATCTTTAAAGGTCAGATAATTTCATTGTTACTTAAACTATATATAATTATAGATTATCAGGTTTTTATTCCAATACATTTCAAGTCATTTAGGATAAATTCCAAAGAATTTTATTCCTTCTGTAAATTTTTTTTTTCATTTTATTTTGGCCGTGGCATGTGGCATGCGGATCTTAGTTCCCTGACCAGGGATCGAAAACCCCGCCCCCCCCCCCCCATACTGGAAGCACAGAATCTTAACCACTGGACCGCCAGGGAAGTCCCAAAGATTTTTATCCCAATAAAAGGAGACCACAGACCATTCTCAATTAAGAATTTCCTTATCTATTCATCCATGTCTTGGCTCTTGTGAATTATGCTGTGATTAACATTGAGGAAGAGATATAGCTTCAAGATAGTGCTTTACTTTCCTTCAAATATATACCTAGAAGTGGGATTGCTGTGTCATATGGTAGTGCTATTTTTAACTTTTTGAGGAACCTCTGTAGTGTTTTACATACTGGCTGTACCAATTTACACTCCCAACAATACTGCACAACTGTTCTCTTTTCTGCACATCCTTGCCAGCATTTTTTTATCTCTTGTTTTTTTGTTCTTTTTAAAAATTATAGCCATTCTAAGAGGTGTGAGGTGATCGCTCTCTCTCTCTCTCTCTCCCTTTTTTTTTTTTTTTAACATTTTAAAAACATGTTAAAATGCTTCTCATTGTGGTGGCTTCTCTTGTTGCAGAGCATGAGCTCTAGGTGCTCTGGCTTCAGTAGTTGCAGCAGGCGTGCTCAGTAGTTGTGGCTCACGGGCTCTACAGCACAGGCTCAGTCGTTGTGGCGCACGGGCTTAGTTGCTTCCCGGCATGTGGGATCTTCCTGGACCAGGGCTTGAACCCGTGTCCCCTGCATTGGCAGGCAGACTCTTAACCACTGCGCCACCAGGCAAGTACGAAGAGACATTTCTTGTGCCACCTCTCAATTTAGCTGATGGCATAAACCCCAAAGCGCATGTTGGTAACTGTATTTCTTTCTTTTTTTTTTTTTTGCGGTACGCGGGCCTCTCA